TGGAGGGAAAAACACTGAAAGTCTGGGACAGGAGAGAGTTACTTTTCACTTGATACCTTCTGACATTATTTGCTTAAAAAAATTAAACCATGTACATTATTGCTTTTTAAATAAAAACCTTCTAGTAAATAATTAAAACAAACAACCATGATCCTGTTGTAAGGACTCAGGCCCTGAACCCGCTCTTGAAGATCGACTTATCTGAATGAGGCCTAAGCACTTACAAGTAGCCTCTACTAATATAATCAAAGTGCATTTCATCAAAAACCGTGGTGCTAATTCCTCTTAATTTCAGAGAGATGAGTGTAAATTGTAGGAATGTGGGAAACAAGAGGTTTTTTTACTAGAAGTACTGTATTTTAAGCATCACAGTTTTTTACTAGAAGTACTGTATTTTAAGCATCACATCCTGCAATTCTACACTAGCCACCAAATAAAAGCCATTTCCTCATGCCCAAACACAAATGCAAACAAAATGGAATATTTGAGTATTGACAGGCAGGGGCGGGGTTGGGGAGGTCGGGGTGGGGGTGGGGGAGCAGAACAAGCTGATTGAAGGCACGAAACAAATGTTTTCAGTAAAGGTACTAATTGCAAAAATATAAATAAAATACATTACATAATAATATGTAATATATAATAAATATATATAAACACATTCAAAAGGCAGTTTTCCTATCACCCATGCCTTTAAAAAAGTCATTATATATAAATGTTTCCAAACTTTTTTCTATGAATCATACAGTGTATACTGCATATCGACTTTCAGTTACACTTTTTAAGATCAAGAACCTGTTATAAAGATGTGATTTTCAATTGCATATTATGAAGGTATGACTATTAAATTAAGAATATTTGTTTTACTCTTAATGAGCAATGAGAGAAATGAAGATACACTGTCAATATTTAACTAATTATGAAGAACTATTTTGTGATAATGTCTTAAGAAGGTAAAATTTAATATGTAGGATTGTTCTGCTAGCATATTATTTTCCTTTTTAAATTTAGGAGCGTAATACTTTGCATGGTGTTGCTCACAAATGCTCAGTACTTAGTGCCTTTTTTTCATACAAGGGAGCAACAAGGAAAAACTTCCTTGAAGGGGAAACACCTGCGGAGAAGGCCAAATAATCATAAAAGGGCTTCTTTCTGCTTGGCCGACTTCATTTGTATTTCAAACTGCCAGGGCTTTTGTGCAGTTTTTAGTGCTTTGGCTAGGCAATCGCATATGTTTGCCACACGTGTGTTCTTCACGCATGAGTTCCTCACAGTACTGCTCCTTCTGACCCAGCCGTCCCTGCTGCAGCTTCGGTGCTAACTTAGAATCAACAGACGTTTAATGAGCACCTATTGTGGACCATCCAACACTAAAAACACTACCATAGGTTAGGTAGGGTTATCCCAGCATAACAGATGAGACATCTGGTTAAGTGGAAAACCAGGTCTTAGCCTAAATGCTTTCACTTATACTGTTTTCAAGTATCCTCTCTCTCTGTTGCCTCTCCTTTCTCTCCCTTGTTTCATAGATAATCAAGAGCAAAGTAGTAGAGATATGCTTAGCCGATCCCTTCCCCACAAAGTAGAAGAGAAAAACATCCAGAGTTCAGGGTTTCCACCACACTCCTCACTGCTACCACCTAGAATAGGGCAGCCCAGCACTTCAGCCCTAACCTGTTCCATAATGTCCTTCTCAGGTCCTGAAGGCACTATGTGCAATTACTGCTGGAGCAGCCCCTATAGTCGTGGAGGAAGTGTCCTGAGCAATGCTGTTCACAACTCTGAAAGATTTTTCTACAGAGACACAGCTCCCCGTGTCTTTATGGGGATTATCAAGACTCTACAAGGGCTTGGAAGGGGTTGAACCAGCTTCCATGTGCAAGCCTGGAATCCTAAGCACAAATCAGAGCTTTGATTCCACTGGAAAAATCAGTTTTTTAAAAAAATAAGTCAATGGGAAACCAGTTTGAGGTCTCTACAACTGATACATTAACAAATTTGTGGACTATAATCCACTTATACTTGGGATTCAATGTTTACCTTCCAAGTTCACAGCATTATAAATTTGTAAGACTGAAAGCACTGTTTTTGTTGTGTTTAATATAAAATAGGGAAAGCTATAGTCTCAAAATTAAAAAAAACACAGCTTCCTGAACTCATGTTTTTCTGTTACTCTTTCTTTTTACCTTTATTTTTAAAAGTGTGATTTCATTCGACTCCAGAGAAACTTCCACCAATGCAATATGATTGTGAAGGTCTTACTATTTCACTGCATACTTAATCGCCGAGCCAGTTTTATCTTACCTCCTCGATGGATAATCAAAGAAGTCTCGCTTCCAATGGGACAGTCCTTAAGGATATCCACTACTTCTGTATGGCTCAGGTTCTGTACATTCTGCTGGTTGATCTCCACAATGAGGTCGCCTTCGCACAGGCCAGGGCATCCCTGAATGTCAAGTATTTGTTTCACCCGCTGTCCGGTCGGACTGTCGGCAATAGTGAAGCCAAAGCCCTGGGCACCTTTCACAATGGTTAAGGTCATGAGTTCAGCTTGGGTGGCCCCAGATGAAGCCATAGACACATTGTCGTCATGGACAGGCGGTGGATACGTGCCATCGAGCTGCCCGTCTGCTGGCATGGAGTGCAAAGAATGAGGCGGCCGATCTGTTATGTCTGGAACCGACTGTGAGGTCCGAGAAATGTATTCCAAATACGTCTCATAGTTATGTCTGCCGTTGACCATGACTGGAGGTGGCCTCTCCATTATTGCAAGGGGTGGCACCAGGCTGTTCGCAGGATCTTCAGGGTCAAAGGGCAAAGGGTAGCCACGACACAACACCAGGCTGACACTCTGACCAATAGGAACCGACTGGAAAAGTTTGACGACGTCTGCATGGGTGTGTCCCAGGACACAAACTTCATTAATATAGACAATGACATCACCTGCAAGGAAAAAAGAAAGAGATCGACCATGTGAGGTAAGTCCAATTAATGTTGGCATAGAGAAATGGAATTATGCATGAGATTAGTGAAAGTGGTGCTGTTTTTCAGTAAGCAGTGAGGAAGTCCATTAGAATCGCGTTTAAATGTACTGTAGGTGACTCAAGATTACAACAGGCCTGCCAACACATGTACTGATCACGTGCTGGAAAAAAAAAGCTATATGGGTTGTTTTTGAAGTTCAGAAACAACTTCATATTCAGAAAGAAACTGTCAAGAAGAAAAGTTGGGAAGAATTTGTACCTTGAAGAAGCAGTCAGTCTATGCTTCCTTTTTCATCTTCATTTTCATCTTCACTGTATTCCAGTTAATAACATTTTCAAACTATTGAGAAGTGGTGGGCATAAGTTTTGGATGAAACCTTTGAAGCCCCAGTACACGGTTTTATTTTTGGTATCACTTGTCTGAGTCAGCTGCCTTTTTATCTTTTTTATAGAAGAGGAAAATATTTTGCCCATTTACATTTTTTTATCTAGAGCAAGGTGTAATTGCAAAGGTTCCAGGCATACATGGGTATAGGTCAAGAGCACAGTTATTGGAATCAGGGATCTGGGTCCTATCCTGGCTCTACTGCTTAGCAGATATGTAACACTGGGCAAATGACTTACCTGCTTCAGCCACAGTTCCTGATTTGTAAAGTTGTTGCGAGGAGGAAATGAGATAATGCAGAAAAAGTGCCTGGTACAGTGCCTGATGCATTGTGAGTGCACAATACATGTGGAACATTATTAATGCTATTCTTGCTAAAAATAGGAGGAAGGAGATGTGGGCCTCTGGCTTTCAAACAGGGAGCTGCCGTAGGCTCATCCTCTCCTCTCACAATGTTGGTATTTCTGTAGATCTTTTCAAAAAAGGCATTTGTCCGCTCTCCCAATGAATTAACACAGAATTACAGTAGCTTACTGGTTACAAGTTAACTTTATGATATAAAAAATGCCCCAAATGCAAATTACTCATTATCAAATATATTCAAACAAATATTACTTTTCCTTAAAATGCAGAAAGGTATGAGATAATTATTTTTTTTAAATTCAATTATGGGTGAAGAACTTTATTTTTTGAGAACTGTTTTTATCATGGATTAATATTTTTATCCTCATAAACCATAATGTTTGAGAATTGAACTTGCAAATTGAGATTGTGCCTGACTATGCTGAGGAATATGTGACAAATGAAAAGACGTGTTTTCACAGATTATCACATAAGTAACTCAACAGACATCAGTTTATCAGGATCATTCAGAAATGGGTAGTATAAATGGCGAGGTATCTCATTCTAAGACATCCTTGCCCATCAAAATTGCAAACACCAAAAATGAAAAAGAGTTGAACTTCCAGAATTCAATAATTTTCTGGCTTTTCTTAAGTGTCTGATATAAAATAATTTCTCTACTAACTACACTTAAATAATTCTGTGAATAAAACACTCCTGAGTAAAATGCCCTCAACAATATAGACTTGGTTAACGCTCACTCTTTCCGAATGCTAGAGAATTGCTTAAAAACCCAAAGATAAGGAGACATAAAAGTCTAACAAACATGCTCAGGGATCAGGGTTAGGTCTGTTTCTAGAAAAAGTTACAGACTATGCAGCTTCATTCTTCCATTATGTCCGTCAGGAAGGGTGCTGGTGCAAGGGCTGGGACACTGGACCAGGCAGGAATCAGGACTGAACTGGGATGGACGGCCTCCATCAAGATTCCTCACTAGATTGGGGCAGCTGGGGATCATTTTCAACAGGTTCTGGTCATCCCAGTGAAGTAACTGATCCAGAAAATTTTTTTCCTTCTGCCTTTTCTATTTTTAAAGTTATCATATATTTTACACATTAAGAGGTTGAAAGAATAATAAATACTTGTGTGTGGCCTCCCTACCATCCAGCAGAACATTGCTCATATTAGTTGAAGAGCCCAGGGTAGCACCCCTTTCCCACTTGTATCCCCTTCCTGCTCTCTCCAAAGGTAACCATTGTCCTGAGGTTTGTTCACATGTACTTTATATTTTTATGACATATCGAAGTGCCCATAAATAATATTCCTAAGTAATATTTAATCCCTGAATAATAATATCCCTAAAATACGATTTTGCATCTCTTAAACCTTCTGTAAATGATATACATATTAATCTTCTGTAATTTCCCTCAAAATATATTTGTGATATTTATCTATTTTGATACCTGTACCTCAGATTCATTCATTTTCATTGCAAAGTGGTATCTATTGAATGACTACATCACTACTAATATTCATTCATTCTTCTGTTAAGGGACGCTGGGGTTCTGGTGACTCTTTGGTTAAGATAACTCTGCTATGAACCTCTTTCCCTGGTCCTTGTGCACATAGAGAGGGTTTTTCTGAGTTTGAACTTTGGCATAAAACTGCTGGGCATAAGCCACATGCATCATCTTTGTTAGACAATGGCAAATGGCTGACAAAATAGGTCAAATCAATTTACACTCCCATCAAAATTTTCATTACTTCCCAACGGACACAGTACTTGGCATTTTCAAACTTAACTTTTGCTAATCTAATGAGTGTGACCATGGTTTTAATTTGCATCTCCACACTGCTAGTGAGGTGAGCAGCTTTTCATATGTTTTTTGGTCATTTGTGTTTTCTTTGTATTACATCTCATTTCTCCTATTTGGATAGTTTTTGTTGTTTTGTTAGTTTTTTAACACAGTGACTATTTTTCTGTCCATCTCCTTTCTTAATCTTCATGGTGTGGTAGACATTACATGGGTTAAGGAGTCAAAGGCCTTTGGTCTGATTACCAGCTCCACACTTACTAGCTGTGTGGCTTTCAAAACCAACTTAAATCCTCCGTGACTCGGGATCTTCAGAAGTAATGAGGAACAATAACAATGGCAACTCACTGATCTAAGGGAAACAGCAAATGAGATCATGCAGGTGAGGGTTTGTAAACTATAAATTGTTATGCAAAGGATGATTGTTATTTCAGTAATCACTATCTTTCCTTGGTTACTTGCGTCTATAAAACCAGGAGAGTCCCACCAAGATATTCCCACCATAGTCATAATCAAGGATGAGCATCGGTTTCTGAGTGAGCAAGTCAAAGGCAGGAGGGTAACAAATGACACTTTCCTCTAAGGTTCTCCTTCACTTTAATCACTGTTAATAAACTCCCAGTCCCCAAGCACGCTTTATCCTTCCCTCTGCTATGCCAGAAATTCATGGGATGAGGGGAGGGGGGAGGGAGGGGGGGATGGAATGAAGGTAATGTTCCAAGTCCTCAAGGTTCCCTGCCAGGTTTAAAGGGTAGTTATTTGAATTATAGTGATTAAGGTTACCTATTTTTGAGTGTTAGTGTAATCTTGCTATTTAGAAACAGAATGAGAGAACTACTTGTGGTTCTAATAAGACTGCCTTTTATAATTTATGGATATTTCCCACTTGGTGCAATTTTTCAAGTCATCAAGCAAGCGAGTGATAAAGAGCCTTGCAACAATCTCTTTGTGGAGTTACACAGATTTCTGAATGTAAAAGATGAGTGGTCCCTTATCAGAGTTAAAACTATCTAACAACTTGACTGCATTCAACTGCTCACTTTAAAAAATATATAGATGCCTAGACATGCGTCATGCCAAAATTGTTGTAGGTGGGGATGTAAGCAAACATTTGCTTGTTCAGATAGAACTGATTGGGGAGGATATTTATAGACTGTGCTGGATGAATGTCATTTACATGTTGTGAAATAAAAATATGAGCCACCTGGTATATGTCATCCAATGGTGCCAGGCCAAGTCCTGGGACAGTCTGGGCTTAAGAGCACAAAGGGACGAATTGGAAAGGAATCATTTGATCTATCTTTCAATTTATCCTGTTAGAAGTGGGAATTAAAATATCTCCCCTCTTTTCTCTTTCACAGAATGAGAATGAGACCATGTTTGTGAAAACTTTTAATTTTACCAAGGAAAGGTTCTCCATTAAAATAAGATGGGGCAGCCCCAGCTGATTTGGCTCAGTGGATAGCGTGTCAGCCTGCAGACTGAAGGGTCCCGGGTTTGATCCCGGTCAGGGCACATACCCGGGTTGTGGGCTCGATCCCCAGTGTGGGGTGTGCAGAAGGCAGCCGATTAATGATTCTCTCTCATCATTGATGTTTTTCTCTCTCCCTCTTCCTTCCTCTCTGAAATCAATAAAAATATATTTAAAAAAATAACAGATGAGGCATTTCTTTTGAAAGCCAAGCACACATTTTCATTGCCGCATTGCTGCAAGGTTACATTGGTTCCTATATGGCCATTCAGTTTGGGCCATCTTAAGGCCAGATGGTTTTAGGGCTGCTGACATCAAGCCTATTGGTTAAATTTGGTGTGACTGATGAGCTGGGCATCCCCATAGGCTGGTCTCATAATGACCCGATTCCCATTTATGGGAAGGAGCAAGGAAATGAGACTGAATCTGATGAAGCAGAAGGTTTAAAAAGGCCTGACCTGACTCTATGGGAATATTTTCTAAGATAATTGGTTTCTTTCTTAGTTATGGAAATAACAGTATAATATTGGATACCTTTTGGGTACTTCATCATTTTGGATAAAACAGGGCCCTCTTAAAGCATTGCTTAAAATAGATTTATTTTTATGCCTCTTTTCTCTGCTTCCACATATTCAAGTCACCGTGGTCTGCAGAATCTTCACCTCAGCTTCTCCCATTGACCACTGTGGTCTATCTTCCTTGGCTACCACCTTGGACCAGACAAGAATGATTTACTTCACACTTCACTCTCATCCTATAGTCCCCTTGAGTAAGTTCAGACTATTCAACCTTTAGACTTACTGTGTAACACTCTTTGCCAAAAGTCTTTCCAACTTCTTTTTGTCTTCACCACCCAATAAGTTACCATTCTTATAAATACCGAATCTTTACTGGTCACAATTTACAGCTGGCTACTTGCCTTTTAGTTGAATCCTGCTGTTCCTCCA